AGCCAGAGTGCTCCTTGGAGGCCAAGATGGCCAAACTTCGTCTCTCATACTTCAGACATATTGTCAGGAGGGACCAGTCACTGGAGAAGGATATCGTTTGGTAAGGTGGAGGGTCAGAGAAGAAGAGGAAGACCTCCAATGAGATGGATTGGCCAAGTGACAGCATCGATGGATTCAAGTGTGGCAACAGTAGTGAGGTTGGCCAGGATCGGGCAGTGTTTTGTTCTGCTGTGCATAAGGTCGTTATAGGTCTTTACCGACTCGGTGGCACCTAACAACAACTACAATAGCTCTCTATGTCAACTAAATTGAAATAGATCTCCTTGGTCGAGTGCAATTTGCAGGTCGGGACCGTTCTTCCCATGACGTCTTCCCTGCGCCTTTCCTTACCCCATCTCTGCTTGTGTGTCTCCGCCATCCTTCTCAGTCTGCCCCCTGAAGCCTTTCTAGATGTCTCCAAACCGAGCTAATGACTCCTTCCTATAAATCCGTGTATAAACTGGTGGGAGTAACTTCAGGGGCAGTGACAGCCAGTATCAACCCACAGCTGATTACCATAGCTCTACTCCAACCTTCACACCAATGCTGACAGCAGTCTGTTCCCCATGGCACTCTGTGCTTCCCTACTGGGCTTCATCATTGGGCCACACAGAATCCACAGGCCATACTTACAGCTAAGTGGTTTATTTAGAAAGTAACGGCTACAACCCTGGATCAGGAGAAGAGTGTTGTTGGCAAAATTTCCCTTCCTCAGTGCAGGACAGCCCGCTCCGTTCCTCTCAGCCCCCTGAGGACAGGCCCTTAGCGACCCCTCAGGACATTCCTCTTGGCTTTGCATCTGTCACCACCGACTCTGCCACAGGGCCACTGCTGGGCATCTCATTGTCCTTGGTGTTACAGCTCTTTTAGGATCTTCCTTGCCTCCTTTCTATCTGCTGCTTCTCGCTTCTTTCTTTTCTTCTCTCTGTTCCTGTCCCTTAAACCCTCTGTGGGGCCAGGTGCAATATACAAATTACCTTGTCAATTTGAAACATGGCCCACAAACAGACCCATGCCTTCTCCAGAGGCCACTGACACTTCATTTGCATAGTACGCTGTAGTTGCTTCATTTGCATGGCCTGTGGACCAATCCCTGCAAGGTGCATAGGATAAACCAATTATAGGGCAGTTTGCATCATTGTTGATAGTGCCCTTGAGTCGGTTCCCACTCATGGTGACCTTATGCATAGCAGGTGAAATACTGCCCAGTTCTATGCCCTTTTCACAGTCATTATGATTGAGCCCATTGCTGTTGCCACTGTGCCAGTCCATCTCTTCAGGGGTCTTCCTCTTTTTCACTGACCCTCCAACTTACTTAGCATGATGTCCTTCTCCAGGGATTGTTTCCCTCTGATAATATGTTCGAATTATAAGATGAAGTCTCACCGTCCTGGCTTCTAAGGAGCACTGTAGTTATACTTCTTCCAACACAGATTGATGTGTTCTTGGTATATATATATATTTTTTTCCTCAAACACCATAAATCTTCCATCTGAAACTGGCCAAACATGCAATCAAGCTGTATTGATAATTACTGGCGATTGGAATGCAAAAGTCCGGAAACAAAGAGGATTAGTAGTTAGAAAATATGGCTTTAGGGATAGAAATGATGCTGGAGATTCCATGACAGAATTTTGCATGAACAATGACTTGTTTATTGCAAATACCATTTTAAAAAAACATAAAAGACGGCTATACACATGAACCTCACCAGATGGAACATACAGAAATAAAATTGACTACATCTGTAGAAAGAGACAATGGAAAAGCTCCATATCATCAGCCAAAACAAGACCAGGGGTTAAACTGGAACAGACCACCAATTGCTTATTAGCAAGTTCAGGTTAAGGCTGAAGAAAATTAAAACAAATCTATGAGAGAGAAAATACGACCTTGAACACATCCCACCTGAGTTTAGAGATCATCTCAAGAACGGATTTGATGAATTAGATACTAAAGACCAAAGATCAGAAGAGTTGGGATGACATCAAGAACATCTTACAGGAAGAAAGGAAAAAGTCATTAAGAAGACAAGAAAGAAAGAAAAGACCAAAATGGATGTCAGAAGACACTCTGAAATTTGCTCTCCAGCGTAGAGATGCTAAAACAAATAGAAGAAATGAGGACGTAAACGAGCTGGAGAGAAAATGTTAAAGGCGGCTCCAGAAGACAAAGTCAAATATTACAGCGAAAAGTGCAAAGACCTGGAGTTAGGTAACTTAAAGGGAAGAACACACACAGTTAGTCTGTGAAGTTAATGTTTCCATTTTATAGCTAAGGAGAGAGGCTCAGGGTACTAAATAGGGTTACTGAAACTGAAGCCAGGACGTTAAGTGGGATCCTGGAACCCGAGCCCAGGAAGTTATGTGTGCATACATACAAGGACCTGAGCCCAGTACATGAAGAGGGAATACAGGGCCGTAAGTCCGGGATGTTGAGTAAGTATGACTGGGTATACTTTGTGTGATCATGCTGTAGTGTAGGCTATTCATAGATCCCATACCATATCTACTCATGTACTTTGTGTTTTCAGATTGAAGATGGACAAACATGAAGATGCTTTCTCTGGTGACTACGGCTGTGTAGGTGATGTAGTTACAGAGCAGTATGTGGTGGAATCCACGGTCTCTGCTTGTCACGTCCAGCTGGCCTGCAGTGAGCCGTACTGTGCTTTCCCTCTGAATGGACGGGAGCTCTGTGTGTGGAGCGCCACGAGTCCTCGTGACCAGGTGCTCCGGAGGGTGTGCCTTGCTCTTTATCCCTGGAGAGGTGAAGGGTCTGTCTTTCTTTCTCGCTCTCTTTTATGCCCTTTGGGTAAAATTATCCCTAGAAGGATTTAGCCACCAATGGTGGAAGGAAAAAAGGTCACAAAACAAACATCAGAGTACGTTTTGATAATTAGAAAATAAACCATCTGAAATCAGTTTTTAAAAAGTTCTCCTCCAGTAAGAATAGAATCAAGTAAAATGCCCATTTGAACATGAACACATCCAAGACAAGTAGCTTTTTAATACAAATTTCTTTAGGAAAAGGTTTTGTGTTTGTTGTGGAATCTTTTACATAAACTGATAAGAGCTTTAAAGGCATTAGTTTTAACTCTAACACTTGCTTTATGACTTGCTGGATGCCTCGTCTGACAAGTGGCTATACTCCGTGACCCACACGGAGAGATTAAATCCAAGTAGGGGTGACAGGAGATTAGGAAAAAGAAAGACACAAGACACAAAATGAGAATAGACTAGTTGGACCAGGCGGGACACAGCACTCTGATGGAGATACTGTGACCCCTTCCTACGTTCAGCACGTTTATTATACGGACAAATTAAAGGAGAGAGCTGGGGGCAGAGAAAGGATTGCAAAAAACGTTTGGTGTATAGATGCAAGCAGTAAATGGGACTTTAGTGAAGAATGTAGTTGCTCGGGAAACAGAAAGGGCAGCGAGATGGTTTTGCAGACTAAACTGAAGGCCATGGCTGCTACAAGGAAAGACTTTGCAAATTCCTTGTTCCCAGAGGCAGGCTTTGCAAGTTCCTCAGGGGCAGCCTGACCTGGGAGCAGCCCGATTTTCTGGAGCACAACTGATTAGTTGCAATCCTCTGGTTAAACTGTCCCCAAGTCTGAGCCCTTTGGTTCAGCCGTTCCCAACCTCTGGATGCTCTTTTTTTCCCCCCTTAAGCTTTTTATTGTGAACTCAGTGAAAATTTACAGACAAGATCATCAGCTTTACTTTCAACCAGTCATACGTTTTGTTTCATCTCAATGATCACAATCCCCTCCCTCCAACAACAGCTATCCTGCTTTCTCCCTGTGGCTTCCCTTTTACGTCTTATTTACTTACCTTTAAAAACTTTTTATTGTGAATTGAGTGAAGGTTTGCTGAGCAGAGCATCAGTTTTCTATTCAAAAGCTCATGCACCGTGTTTGCTCTCAGTGGCTGCAGCTGCTCCAGGTAACATCAGTGATCCCACTTCCTCCCTGTGGGTGGCATTTCCATTCCACCCTTCTTCGTTTTGCTCTTTTCATCTTGACTGACTTACCATTCCACAGCGAGCATACCTTACTAGGAGCATACCTTTTGTTTTTGTCGTGGGCTGTGGGTTAAATGTGCTGGACTGCAGAGTCAGTTTGAACCACAAGGTTGCCGGTTCAAGCTCACCAGCTGTTTCTTGGAAACCCTATACAGGGTTACTATGGGTCAGAACTAACTTGAAAGCATTTCACAACAACAACAATGTACCTAACTGGTAGCGTAGTGGTTATGAGTCAGGCTGCTAATCTCAAGGTCAGCAGTTCAAAACTACCAGCTGTTCCTCAGGAGATACATGAGGCTTTCTGTTCCCATAAAGGTTTATAACCTCAGAATCCCTTTACTGGCTCATTATGAGTCAGAGGTGACTCGATGGCACACAACCACCACCACTACCATATACCTATCAACTGTTTGGTGAGAATTGTGCTATGAAATTAAGTTCCATTCCAGACCTATGGGTTTTTTTTTTTAAATAATTTTCAGTTTTGTTCCACATTTTCTCCCACTCTCCCCAGGACCTTCTAATGGGATCCCTCTCGGAGCAGTTGGGTTTGTTAGTTGGGCACCATCTAGTTCTTCTGGCCTTAGAGTCATGAAAACTGATGTTCACGCGTTCCATTTGTCCACTGGACTCATTGATTCCAAGCATCTTCAGTTCTCATCACTCTTCTGTCTCCCACACATGAAGACACCAATAGCTGCACCTTAGATGGCTGCTCGTGAGCTTTGATGATCCCAGACACTGCTCACCAATGTAGGATGTAGAATATTGTCTTTGTGGACTGTGTTAGGACAAGTGACCATGGTGTCCCCAAGACTATGGTCTTGAAGCTTCTAGGCCCAGTAACTCCTTGCCTTAAGAGGTTTGACAACATCTAACAAGTGTTCATCATTTCCACAATCACAGTTGTGTTTGCAGGAAAGGTAGATAGATACCCAGGTACAAATGTCCTCTTTCAAACCCTTACGTATTTGTGGGTATACGCCCACGCTCCTTCCTGTAGCCATCCAGCCTGTGTGTGTCCAGGTGTCTCTCCCTGCAGAACACTGTTCTTCCAGTGCTGTGTATATAACTCTATTTTTACATGGTCCCCTGTAACCCTTGCATACCTCCCTGCATCTTCACCTGTCTTCATCATTCTTCTGCCACCCTCCCTGTTCTTGTATATTGCCCTCTCCATCACCCAAGTTGACATGTATCTGTTCTCTAGCCAGTGAATGACTCTCCGTTTCTTCCCTCCCCTGGTGGTAACCATCAAAAAATGTTGCTTTTAGCTTGAAAACCTTTTCTTGAGATTTTTACAGTAGTCGTCTCATATATTATTTGTCCTTTTGTAATTGACTAATGTGTGGTGCTGTAGGATAAGTACTGGGCTGCTAACTGCAAGTTCAGTGGTTCGAACCTACCTGTCGCTCCTTGGAAACCTTATACAGGGCTGCTGTGAATTAGAACCATCTCGAAGGCACTTAACAACAGTGGTGCCACTCAGCGTGGCGTTCGTCATCCGTGTTAGGAGGTGTTATGCAGATTCATCTTTTTTTTTTTTCAATGTTGCATCGTATATATACCAAACTCTGTTTAGTCATCCATTGTGGGATGTATAGGCTGTCTCCATCTTTTTTGCTATTGTGATTAGTGTTGCGATGGACATTGATGTGCATAGATCTAATGGCTTCCTGGCTCTTTATTGCTTACGGCTATACGCCAAGTGGAGGGATTACCGGGTCATGTGGTATTGCTATTTCCAACCTTCTGAGGAAGCACCACACCGTTTGCCACAGTGGCTGCACCATGTTACAACACCACCAGCAGTGGAGGAGGGTCCCAGTCTCTCCACACGCTCACCAGCATTTGTTGGTTTTGTGAACTTTGCTATAATGCTGGTGTGAAGTGATACTTCATTGTTTTGGTTTGCATCTTTCTAGTGGCTAATTATCGTGAGCAGTGACCACCTGAATGCCTTCCTTGGTGACGTGTCTGTTCATGTCCTCTGGTCATTTAAAAATTTAAAATTTCTTGAAGAGGTGTGATAGTGTTCTATATCTGTTAGAGGTTAGTCCCTTATGTGATGTGTCATTGCAAACATTTTTTTTCTCAGTCTCTGGGCTCTCTTTTTACTCTTCTGGTGAAATCCTTTCATGTACATACGTGTCTAGTCTTGCTGTGGTGCTGTGGGTTAGTGCAAAGGACTGCAAGGTCTGGTTCAACCGCAAGGTCAGCCGTTCAAGCTCACCAGCCACTCCTCAGAAACACTATACAGGGCCATTATGTGCAGGAACTGACTCAATGGCACTTAACAACTACAATCATCTATTTTGTCTACTGCTGGTTGTGTGTTTTTAGTAATGCTTGAAAGTGCATTTGTGCCATGTATTAGAACCCCTAAGTTTGCCCATAATTTTTCATTGATGATCTTTATACTTCTGCATTTTACATTTAGGACTTTAATACACATTAAGCTTGGTTTTGTATATGGTGTGAGATCTGGGTAATGTCTCATTTTTCTGCCAATGGATTTCCAGTTTTTCCAGTACAATTTGTTGAAGAGACTGTCTCTTCCCCATTTAATGTGCTTTGGCCCTTTGACAAAGATCAACTGATTGTACGTGGATGGATTTACTTCTGGGTTCTCAGTCGTCACCATTGATCTGTTTCTTTCTTGTTGGACCAGTACCAGGCTGTTTTGACCACTGTAGCTATATAGTAGATTTTGAGATATCCTTTCCATATAAAGTTAGTGATCATTTTTTCTATTTCTTTTAAGAATGATGTTGGAACTGGATTGGGATTGCTTTGTATCGATAGATTGTTTTGGGTAGAGTGGACATTTTCAGAATGTTAAGTTTTCCTATTCTTTAGCATGGTATAGTCTTCCAGTTTTATAAGTCTCGTTTGGTGTCTTGTAGTAGTGTGTTGAAGTTTTCTTTATATGTGTTGTTGTTAAGTGCTGTGGAGTTGGTACCGACTTATAGCAAGCCTGTATAGGATTTCCAAGGAGTGATTGTTGAGTTTGAACTGCCGACCTTGCGGTCCAGTGCTTTATCCCACAGCACCACACCAGGACTCCTAGGTCTGTTATTTCTCTGGTTACATTTATTCCTAACTATTTCATCTTT